GTGGAAAATATGCATAAAAATGATGATATGGTCAAAATACTCACTTGCCTAATAATTGTGCTCACAGTGTGCTTGTACTTCCTTCACCTTCTCCTTGCATGCTTGTATTGGATCTTATTGGGTCAGCCCAATTGTGAGGCTCCATGTGACTTCCTCATAGCAGCTGGCCTTCAGAGCTGCTTGCTGAGCGGGGAGGCAGGGAGTCGTTCCATTTGTGTCATGTGACTCATGCTGTTTTCTCCACGGGATACAATTCCTTCATAGTCTGGATTGAGGAGCCCCTCAGTTGTATCACTGCATGTTAGCGGTTCCTACTAATCACTCACGGCAGAGTGAACTATAAGCCATCTGCAGGCTCCACAAGAGTGCCTATGAAACCCACCTAGTGGCCTGATTAAAAGATTGCCACAAAGGCTCTGCAAGCAGCACTAGGATCCCATGAGGCCTCTGAGCTCATTGAAGTGACTGAATGGTGCTTGAGGTTGGTGTTGTCCTCTTTTCTCTGAGGCCTTCAAGGTTTGTGGTGATAGTGGTGTTGGAAGTGCTCTTTCTTTCTTTTGAATCTTCAAAGACTTCAAAAGAAAAAGTTCTACTCCAATACAAACACCATGCCGTCATTGGAACAAGTTGCGAGTGGCCTGTGAGCAGCATGAGTATTCAGCAGTGTGATCAGGAGGCCGCTCACTGCAATAGTGAAAGAGTTGCACAGAACAGAGAAGCCAGCATGAGCCATTTGACGTGAGGAGGGCGACTCCCTCCATCACCAGCTCAGAAAATCAGCTGTCATGAAAAAGTCACATGTAATCATGCAACTGGGCTGATGCAGCCAGATCTGCTGCCTCTGAAGGAAGAAAAGGAGAAGCAAATAGAGAGAGGTATGTTGCAGAGAAGATTACTGTGGGACAGAAAGGGAAAAAGTAGTCCTGGAAGAAAGACAAACAACAGTAAGCTCCCACATTTACCATAGATTCAAGGTCTCATTTGCACTTTTGATATCTTCAGTTTTATGCTGGAATGGCACCAGCCGGAATAGCAGAGTATGCTTTATTTTGTCCCTGATTTTAGAGGAAGTTTCCCCCCCACTTTTATAAGGTAGGAACTAAATGCAGTATATTCCTTTGCAGCTATTGAGCTGTTCCAATGCTGAATATTATACATTTCTGAAATAATTTCTTGGTATAACTGAGAATTGCAAACCCATCTTGAGTCCTGTTCAGGTATTTGCCTAAATGCTCAAAGATTTCAAATGGATTAAACCAGTGTTTCTCAGTGTTTCTAAATAAGCATGCTGGCTGGGGAATTCTGGAAGTTGAAGTCCAGACATCTTAAAGTTGCCAAAGTTGAGGAATACTGGATTAAACTGATAAGCAATTCATGCTGGCCCCTGCTGCTATGTATTCTGTGAGTGCATATATCTCCTCAATTTCAGATCTCCTACATTGAGAGGCACATGCAGGTGAGCAAACGGGAGAGATCATCATGTGCAATTCCATCACTCTAATCCAGGGGTTTCCAAACTTACCTCGGAGGTTGCTTGATGGGGCCAAATGTCACTGAATGGCAGCATGTTCAGACAGATGAAGCAGAAAGCTATTATTATAGAAACAAATACAATTTAATTTTGTGTGAGAAATATTCATTTAGCAAGAGAAGACATCATTTTTACAGGATATGTCTTGTTCTTTTATTTTAAAAGTTATACTGATATATGTATTGCTGTGGGGCATTTTTATCTGTGGAGTGTTTGGAAGAACTTGGGGCAATTTAGTTTAGTAAAACAGCCTCAACTTTCATTTATTTATTTACATTATCTGTTTGTTTATTTTTTGTGGCCACCCATCTCACCAAGTGACTCTGTGTGGCAAACAAACCTTAAAAAATAAAAACAATTACAATAATACAAAATTAAAACATTAAAAAACATAGCTGTTTTAATTTGAAACAGCAGCGTCATTAAGTTATCCAAGGTAATAAAATGAAAAGATTTTTTCCAACCCTTCATTTTAGCTGTTAGTGAATCCTAAAACAGAAGCCACATCGGTAGTTGCTTTGCGTGACTACAAAGGTAGAACTCTCTAAAATATATTCTGTTCTTAACTCACTAAAGAAGTTTGTGTTTACATGTACAGTATGTTTGAGATGCCATAAATCCACATATGCTTGTTTTACCTTTACACATACACAGCCTGTAAGCTACTATGATTTAAATGTACCTGGAATTTATCTGTTTAACTAGACATTCACGCAAATTGATTGTGAGCGTTCTGCATAGATTATTTCAGGTTTCATTCCACGTTTCTGGACCAAACCCTGAAGGTTCAAAACACCTTGCATTAATAAGCTTCTAATCGCTTAACTTTTTTTCTTAACCCGATAAGCCTGCATGGGATAATCTGGCTGAAACAAAGTAACAGGAAAAAAGAGGAAAGCTTCAAAGTGAACGATGCCTCTAGTTAAACCAAATGTTATATTAAATATGTAATCTATAGCTGACTTTTAAATCCTCTCTCCCGATTTTAAATCAGAATCCCACAAACTTTATACAATTCAAATCAGGGGAAGATTTAAAACTCCTCCTCCTCTTCCTTTCTGCACCTATTTACTTGTGTTCC